ATTTTGGCTGTTGGGACAGTAGAAGACACCTACTAGGAACCAGAAATAGAGGTGAATACAAGCAAATTAAGGCAATTAATGTCTGCAGAGAAAAATGCTAGGCAAGCTTAAGGAACTCAAGTCTTTTACAAGTTGAGTGCTTACAACTTGAGTTTCAAAAGAGAGCAGCTGCAATTGTGTAAGCTCTGGCAATGATTTACATAACTCTCAATTCTGGAATGATCCCAGAAGATTGGAAGTTAGCAGAAGTAACATTAGTGTTTTGGTGCAAGCTGAGTGGCACAAATAGGTTTCTGAATAAAAGGCATTTGACTTGCACTCCTTACAATAACTCACAAGAATACCAATGTAAAGGGAAAGCAACATTTATATCCTATAAAAGGAAGATGCTAACTGGTTGGCAAGTGGACTCCGGTGGAAGTGTTGCCATGGAAAATTTACCAGTTAGCTTATGACTGGTAGTTAATAGCCAAGTTTTGTTTAAATTTGAAATGAGGTAGGTTGACTGATTTAGTTGAGGCGTTGTCTTGAGCAATGAGCCGGAGATAGTGTCACCTATTTTTAGTGGGTTGAAACAGGTGCGGTGTGTGTACATGTTCATTTTGTCAGTAAAATCAGAGCTCTGTATATGAATATGTCACTTCCGGAAAGTGCAAGTGTGTGACGCTGAGAGCCCAACTTAATCCTAAACTGTCTTTTATGAGCAATACTGCAATGTAGTAATGCCTTTTAAGAAAGGAAGGAGAAAGAAAAATATGAACTATAGGCCATTTTACCTGACACATTTCCTCAAATCTATTTTAGGTAAGTTGTAACAATCCCTTTTAAGAAAAACACAGTTAAAACAAGTAAACGTAAGGAAGGGCAATTCTATTTGGTGTACATGTTAACTTGATTGAGAATGTAACTGATGGGGTGGTTAATGGACAACCTGGAAATGGAGTGTACTTGCATTTCGAAAAGGGATTTGAAAGGTGCCTCACAAAAGATCAATAAACAAAATATGGACTCATGGAATGTTTCATGATATATTAGCATGGACAGAGGATTGGTTAATAGGATGCAGAGAATAGAGAAAAATGGGACAGTTTCTTGTTAGCATGCTGTGACTAGTGAATAATGCAAGGATTAGGGGTGGACCTTGGCTATTTACAATCTCTATTAATGACTTGGAGTCAAGTATGACAGTTTGCTAACAATCCAAAACTGTGGGAATGCAAGCATTGAGGAGGACACAGAAGCTGAAAAGTGATCATGACCGATTTAAGTAAGTGGACCAAAATGACAGATGGAGTATATATAAGTCTATATACTTGGACCTCCAAAGAATGGGAGGTGATCTCTTTCAAACATTCAGGATCACGAAGTGGCTTGCCAGGATTGATACTTGGTTTCTCCCAGCCGGAAAATTTAGAGCAAGAGGGCACAGTTTCAGGATGAGTGGTAATGAAATTTCTTGACTCAATGCTCTGGATCTTCTGGAGTTCTCTACACTGGAAAGTTGTGGATCTGCTGTCATTGAATCTGACTCGGGTGCAGATTTTTAACTCCCAGGATCAGGATCCGGATCGGAATCGTGGACAGCAGGAGGGAAAGTAGGGATGAAGCCCATGATCAGTCACGGTTATAATGAATGACAGGGTAGGGTTGACAGGCCATATAACGATTGTTCTTATTTTTGATTTTTGTTCTGTTCTGATCATTTCACTGGTAACTGAGGTTATGCATGCTGCTGTGCAGAGGGACCTTGGTATCCTTGTGCATGAATCACAGAAGCTTGGTTTGCAGGTACAACAGGTCATGAAGAAGGGAGGTCAGGGAGGACAAAAAGCAGGAGGTCATGTTGCAGCTGTATAGCATACTGGTGAGACCCCTCCATCCACGCCCCCGCCCCCCACTGGTGTACTTAATGCAGTTTTGGTCTCCTTACTTGAGAAGGGATGCACTGGCACTGGAGGGGATGCAGAGGAGATTGACGAGGTTGATTCCAGAGTTGAGAGGATTGGTTTATGAGGAGAGGCTGAATAGACTGGGATTATATTCATTGGAATTTAGAAGAATAAGGGGGCATCTTATAGAAAGATATAAAATTATGAAGGAAATAGATAAGATAGAAGCAGGGAGGTTGTTTCCACTGGCGGGTGAAACTAGAACCAGAGGGCATAGCCTCAAGATTAGGGGGATCAGATTTAGGACTGAATTGAGAAGGAACTTCTTTACCCAGAGGGTTCCGAATTCCCTGGCCGGTGAAGTAGTTGAGGCTTCCTCATTTCATGTTTTTAAAGCTAAGATTTTTTTTGAACAGTAAAAGAATTAGGGTTATGGTGAGAGGGTGGGTAAGCAGAACTGAGGCCATGAAAAGATCTTATTGAATGGCAGAGCAGGCTCAAAGTGCCAGATGGCCTATTCCTGCTCCTGATTCTTGTGTTCTTATGCTCGATGCTTAGTTCCAACAAGTTTATTCTGATGTTTGCTGGAATATTTTTCTGAAATTGTTGCGAACGTATTGTTGACAATAATTGTGTTTCCCCTATATTGCTTGAGACAGATTTGAGACTTCATGCATTTAATGTGAAGTCAAAGTCTCAAAGCCTTTTTTGTTTGCAAGTATATACTTTAGTCATGAAATATCTAAAACTCCATTCAAAATCACTCCAAGTTTAGACATTCTGGAAGAAGCAAAGTACAATTTCTCTCCATTGAGCATGTTGCACTCTTGGGTGTCTCAGTTCATTTCCAATACATGTGACATATACCAGATATGTTCCAGAACAAGCGTATAGCCTGAAGTGTTGTACAAGTTTCCAGCCTCTTGGTAAACCCTGGTTGAAAGGTTTTAGATAGTGGCATTTCTCGCTGCATTTTTGTGGCTTTAATGTGTTGTTTAGAATCAGTGATCTCCTTTTCCCACAGACCTTAAGGCATTAAGTGGTCAAAGGTGTTTTCTCAATGCAAACCTTTGCATGAAAGTCAGATAATACAGCAAGGTCCAACTGTTTAGCAGCAGGTGGGACCTCAACACAAGCTTGACAGGGATGACTATCCTAAACAGTGGAGGCCCTGTGCATACACTGTCACCATCTTCTGCTCTGATTGTTGTTGCTCCATAGACACAGGAGCATCTGCGACCTGTTTGAATTGGTTTTGGAAACCAAGGTAAACAAAGGCAAGAACAAAATTCTGTTCTTGAGGAACAGGGCCAACCAGTCCTTGCCTCCTTCACTGTCTGGATGAATTATCTGGAAGTGCTGGGAATATGGTTTGAAGCTTGTGGTAAAAATTGGGAGGAGCATGTTGCCAAGGTAAGGCAAAACTTGACATATGGGAGCATTGTTGCCTCTCCATTATGGTTAAGAACCTGGTCTCATCAGGTGTGAGGTGCTCTTGGTGTTGGTATACAAGGTGCAAGTCTGGTCCATTCCCTGATCTTGGGCTTGAATGGTCATGTGAGCCATCTTCTACTTTACCTGGAGGTCAAAAATAGATAACATCTGCAGCGCCACCATGTACAAAACTCTGAATGAAGGGAGGGGTAAAAACATACCCAGCATTGTCCTCAACTTGATGGCTACCTTTGTGTATGGCTGCATAAGCTGTGTGTGTGCAAACACCAAGTTACACCGAAGACTTTTTTTGATGACCCTTTCCACTTTTGAAGATGTGCCGTTTTGGCGATTGCTAAACTGAGATGTTGCAGACCTTTTGTTTTGGAATGATATGCTTCTATTTGAAAGAAAAGTGTGCACTCAATGACCTGATGCATTCTGCCTTTCTAAAAGGAAACTTATTTCTGTTCTTCTTTGTCATGGATCACCTTGTAGCTAGTCAACAGCCCAATCTTTTTTCTTTTCTACACTTGTTTGTGAAAGCACTGAACTGTTCACCTGAGGGTCTTTTACAAAGACCTGATTTAAGTACATGTAAATAAACTTCCAGATAATCCATCACTAATCATTGAGATCATCGAATATGAAACTGAAACATTCATTTCCCTCGACTCCCAATATAGAAACAAACTTAAAACTATACATGGTTCTGTCCCCTTTAGAACCCAAGTTTCCAAATAATAAAATATCTTTAACCTTCACAAGTTTTTCTACATCAGTCATGAAGCCTTAAACTCTTTCCCTTCACCCAATGAATTATTTTAAATGCTACAAAACCAGTTATGTTCCTTTGCACTTGCCATTTGATATATGTAAGTGTTAGAACCAAGTATAAACTATGTTGAATTTTCCAAGACATTGAACAGGAAAATGTGTTGTCATTTACTGATCCAAACAGAGAGATGAAGGAAATAAGGAATTGCTAAAATTTGGAACAAAAATGGATATTGTTGGAGAAACCCAGCAGGTCTGGCAGCATCTATGATGTGAAGGCAGAGTTAATGTTTTGGGTCCAGTGATCCTTGTTCAGAACTGACCTGAAACATTAATTCTGCTTTCTCCCCACAGGTACTACCAGACATGCTGAGTTTCTCCAGCAATTTCTGTTTCTCTTTCAGATTCCAGCACCTGCAGTTTTTTGGTTTTTTTTTTTTTTTGTTTGAACCAAATCATGCATTTCAATACAAGTAGCAATGTGCAAATGATGCACTTACAAAATTACATCTTGGAAGAATTTTATTTTCTAGTTAAGGAAGTAAACATGGCTTTAAAAATGCCATTACTGTCCTCAAATATATTGAAGAGCTTTACAGATGTCGAATTATTGAAACCTGTTTTTCATACCCCTTGTGATGTTCCAAAATTTAAATTTTCATGAAAGAAATACTTGTCAACTTTTTAACTTGCCCCTTTTCAATATATTGCAAAATGTGTTTTTGAATATTGTACTCCCTGCTTTTTTGAGAAAACAATGATTTGCTATTGTAAGCTGTCATGTATAGTGGATGATTATGTTGATGGTGCACTGAACAAAAGTTTTAACTTCAGAAATTTAGGAATAGCATACTGTCTTAATCTGGGCATGTTGCTTAAAATTTTTATGGTTGCTTCCAGACTTCTGTATAGTTTGGCTTTCAACGCAAGATTCATGCGACATCTTTGGAATTTGATCACCTCTGTCACAACGAAAATGATCACCGGGTAAGAATATAGATCTGCATGTCCAGCAATCTTCACTGTTGAGCATCTTTGAACAGAGCATTGTTTAATGTTACCAGTTATGCTGACGAGCACTTACGTCACACGTGATGAGTAGTTATTTCTTATTTAAAAGATTGGATGAATTATTAGACTAGAGGTACAGTGGTAAATTAGTAGTAGGAAATATTTAAAAAAAAAAAAAAAACAGTTTTCAACAAACAACTCGAGAAAGATCTTTTCATGGTTTACTCTGGAAGTTAGATAGCATTGAATTAAAAGAGGCTTTTAATGTTGTAACAACTATTGACGAGCAGGAAGAACAAGTTGTGTTGCGTTCCCTGGTTTTGGTATTAGGACAGTTGTTCTTGCTGATAAATATTAGTGATTAGTTTGCAGATGACCCTAAACCTAGAGGACTTGTAAACAGTGAGGAGGATAGTGTGGAACTCCAAAAGGACATTGACAAATTGGAGGAGTGGGCAGATAGGTGACAGATGAGGTGATATGTCTTGATTGGAAGAATATTGAAAGAATAATTTGGGATGCATTCTAAACGGACTGCAGGAGCAGAGAGAGTTGGGTGTAAATGTGCTCGGATGGGAGGGCTGCTTGAGAGAGCGATTCTTACAGCATTCTAAAGTATCCTCGGTTTTATTGGTAGAGGCATAGAGCATAAGAGCAGGGAGATGATGTTCAACTTGTTTAAGACACTTTGTTAGACATCAATTGGAGTATTGTGTACATTTTTGGAAGGATGGGAACGCGCTGGAGAAAGTCCAGAAGAGATTTAGACGAATGGTTCCAGAGAGACTTCACTTACGAGAATAGATTGAAGTTGCGATTTTTCTCCTTTGAGAAATTCTCTTAAGAGGCTAAGAAGAGATCTGATAGAGGATTTCAAACTCAAGTGGGCTGGATACATGCAACATACAGGAACCCTATTCTGAACTTTATTACTTTCCCTGTTACAGTGAATTCACCTTGGTATTTCCTGCATTTGTGCTATCTATTTCCTCTAATAGTCCTCTGTGGTATTATCTTCTTATTCCTACATCCCTGCTTAGTTCTTTGAAACCCTGCCCAAAAGCATTAGCAAGTTATCTCATGAGATAATTGGACCCAGCTCTGTTTAGGTGCGATCCATCTGGGCTGTACAAGTCCTGTCTCTTCAAAAGTGATATTCTAAAACCTGAAACCTTCCCTTGTGTACTTTTTCTACCCATGTATTCATCTTTATTCCCCTCTTTCTAAACTCGTGCAGAATACTGCGAGTTATCTGGAGATTTCTATCATTGAGCTCATGCTTGCTAATTTCTTACCTAACATCCCTTTTGCTATTTGTTGGTACCAATATGAGCAATGACTGCTGACTGTTCACTGTTCCTCTTTGGTACTCTGTAGTCGTTCCGTGACCTTGGCACCAAGGAGGTAAATAGCATCTTGGATTTATGTCTGACTGCAGAAATGCCTGACAGTTTCCTAGCTGTCCTATCGCGGTTGCTCTTGCCGTCTTTTTCATGTCTCTCTTTACAGCTGAGCTAACTGGTGCCGTGGACCTGACATTTGCTGTACTCCCCACATGAATATCACTTTGATCTGTATTCAGAACTGAAAATTGGTTCAAGATGGGATGCACTTGGAGGACTTCGATCCCACCTGACTGTTCCTTATTGACTATCTGGTGATCACCTGTTTCTCCCCCCTCCTCACATTGTCTTAGCCAAGGCATTACCATATCTGTAGATGCACAAAGACCTCAACCTCACAAATGTGTTGCACCGATGCCAGCAGGTGCTGAAGCTCTGGAACACTGAACTTCAACTGCTGCAGCTAATTTCTGTGTGAGCAGTTTCCTATGAAAATAGTTATCCAGGATGCAAATCCATTCCGACTTGGAGCAGAATTTCCACTCCAGGGACTGGAACTGCTCTGCTATTGTGCTATCTCTTTAGTAATACTTGCTACTTAATAATTAGATTCACATCCATTTAGTTCTTATATGCTGATGTCACTTACTTATAGGGAGATAAACTGAAATGTTTCACTTAACGTAAAACTGGGAAACACTTAGATAAAAAGTATATTGGAATTTGGCAGGTGTAACCATTGCTATCGAAGAAAACATAGCAAGAAAACAGGGAATGTTAGGTAATGACTAGTGTTCATTCTTAAGGAGATAGAAACAATGCACTTAGAAAATCATAGTTCGGTTAGTCAAAATACTTTCACACATTTGTGTTTGACAATTTTAAGCTTTTTGAGGGTGTAACCAGTATGGTACATAGAGAGGAACCAGAAAATGTATCTCTGCAAATGCAAAAGGCATTTGGGAAAGATGACAAAAATAAATATGCAAGGTGAGGGCTCATGGAATTTGGATTAATAGGTTGGGTGGAGGAGTGTTTTCGAGTTGGTACGCTTGCAAGCTGGCATGCTGTGATTAGTGGAGTGCCACAAGAATCAGTGTGGCACCGCAACTCTTTGGAATCCATTTCTGATTTGGATGAAGGCATGTGATATAATATTTCAAGCTTGCTGAAGATTCCAATCAAATGTAAGCTGAGGAAGACATAAACAAGGCTGCATTGAGACCTAGATAGGGTCAGTGAGTGGGTAATGAGCTGGCAGATTGGTTTCAATGTGTGGAAGTGAAAGGTTATTAACTTTGGCAGCCAGAGCAGAAAAGCAGTATATTTTTTTAAAATGAATGAAAATTTGTAACTGTTGATCTTCAGAGGTGCTTATATGTACTTGTACAATGAACACTCAGCACACAGGTACAGCAAGCAACTAGGAAGGCAAATGTTGTGTTGGCCTGAATTGCAAAGGGATTGTTTGTACCAACATAAGGTCTTGTTACAGTTTATATCTGGCTTTATTGGGATCATATCTGGAAAACTGAGATGCTTTAGTTTCCATAGTTGAGACAGGATATGCTTGCCTTGGAGGCAATACAGTGATGGTTTGTTTGTTGAATTCTGAAAGCAGACATTTGAATTGTGATGAGAGGCTGAGTAAATTGGTTCTATATAATCTGGAATTTGGGGAAAAAAAGAGAAGTGATCTTTTTGAAACCTGCAAGCCTCTGAAGAGGCTTGAAAGGTAGACATTGAGAAATTCTTTCTCCTGGCTGGGGAATCTAGAAAATAAGGGACAAAAATTCATGGTGAGGGCTTGATTTCTTTGAAATAAGAGGTGAAGTTTCTTTACTTTATGATTAGACATGCTCTGCAACAGTGTATCCACATTCCAGGAGAAATTTTTCTTGCCTGGAGGAATTAAAGAAAATGGGTAGTGGGCAGAAAAGTATATTTGAGCCAGAAAATCTGCTATGGTCATGTTGAAAGGCAGAGCCTGGTCAAGAGGTTGTATGGTTTATATCAGGCTTCTGTTTCTTCTTTATAGCACTTGCGATTTGTAAATCTTTCAGGAGTATTGGTAAGCGAAAATTTGACAAGCATCAGGGAGCTATTAGGACAAGTATACAAGGAGCTTCTCAAAGGAGAAAGTAGTAGTAGATAGGGCAGAGAGGTTTAGGCAAGAAAGGACAGCTGCCAGTGGTGGGGCAGTAGCAATTGGTGATATGCAAGACCAGATTTGTGATGTTGTCAAGATCAGTTGCATGAAAATTGATCAGTTGGAAGTTGCACATGTATGGAGAGGTAGAGCCATGATTCGTGTTGACTTGTCCCCTTGTCTTGTTATTATTTCTTGCAGTTTAAAAGCCCAACTGATCTCTCTTTGTTCTGTGCACGACAGAATTGATCCCCCTCAAGCTTATGTGAAATCAGTACAATGAATATCAATTAATGCACGCCAGTGAGGTATTCGATGGATGAAATTGATATGTAAGAGGGAAAATTTATTTGCATCACAAACCTTATCTTGGACTAGCACCATTTATTGACTTTGTTCATTATCATCAGTGGCTCAAACATAAATGCTAGTCATCATTATTGTATGTTTGCTCACTGCACGACGCAGGTTTTTTCTCTCCACTGGTCACCTGGTTTCCACCACACAATTTCAAGCACTGTGACCATTTGTTGCTTTGCTTATGAAAGGCCAGACTTTCTGATCATAGCATTTAGGAGTTCAGTGTCACCCCAAACTTGAATTCAAGTTCAATAAAATTTATGACATTACCATTCTTGTGAAGCACAAAAGTTCTAGAAACCAGAATGGTACGCATAATACACTTGAGTTTTGGTTTGGCTTTTAATCTATCTTGAATTGATTGGACAAAATCTTTGAATTTAATGTCCTTGCTGCTCAGACTTGGGAATGGGAAGAAGAATGATTCTCTGAAAGGCTAAATCATTACTAGCCATTTAAGGGAATCTCATTAAATCATCCACTCATTGCCCTGGCATGCTCCCAGATTACCACATCCATTCTTAATGGGAGCTCTGCCCTATTAATTAACATGTAATTTTATTCATTAAAAAATTCTCTATCAAATGTTCTGAATCAAATGACACTATGGATAAATTTAACTTGTAACCATTCTTTTTGATTGCTATACATTCTACAAAAAGAGGTGTCACTAACCAGATCTGTGCTTCATTTTTGTCAAGTTTACGTAAGAGCGAGACAAAATGGAAGAGAGTGTGTTCTCGAAGGGTCCTCAAAGACTATTGGCATAACTATTGCTTTCTATATCAGAGGAAATGTGGCCTTTATATTTAAATACTTCCATACCATTTAATGGGATTTTTATACTGGGAGTATTTGCTTAAAGGACAGACTTGTCTGAACAATAATGCATTGCCCATTCTGTGGTGTTTCTGTAGTGGAATAATTTGAAGTAGAGGAGAGGCAAAGGTCACATGGCACACCTTTGTAGCAAGCTACCCAGAAGGGTCCTGACCCGAAACGTCAACTTTCCTGCACCTCTGATGCTGCTGGCCTACTGTGCTCCTCCAGCTCCACAATGTTACCTCTGACTCCAGCATCAGCAGTTCTTACTATCTCTATGCATGTATTGCTTTCTTTTCTCTATTTGTATTTTCTTCCATGTAAGTGAGCAAGGTAATTGTACACTATTTCAATAAATATTATAGAAAAGATATTTTCTTGATAAAAATATTTGTGCCTCACTTTGATTTGTGTATATAGTTAAGTGAAGAGAGATTGATATCTGAAGTATCATCCATAGTTAACTTCATTCACGTTTGCATTTTATGTATCTATGTAAATTTTGAAAACATGCTTGATTATTTTCTGAAGTTAGTTTAGTAATGCTATATTTCTTTGTATCTAAGGTCAATGGTCTCATTACTTCAACTGATCTCTCGAGGATCTCCAATGTCACTTGAGGACTCGCATCGGATCATACCTCTCTTTTACCTCTTCAGCTCCCTCTTTAGCCATTCCCTTATTTCGGTACATGACAATGAATTCTTTGGAGAGCAGACTGAAGGAGGTAACATTAGCAAGCAGAACCTTGTTGCTGAAAGTAGATACGTTGTGTTGGCTTTCCACCACTTTGGTGCTAAAATGCTCTAAAATATTTATACACGTCCATTGCTATGAAAGAGTTTTATTCAGTGACATTATGCAATATTTGGGAGAGCTGACTGTGATGCCGTTATGTTATCTGGGGAGTTGTAAACCAGTTCTTGCCTCTGCCTCTTCTCTTGCCCTGCCTGCTCCCCCAGCAAAAAAAAATGAATTGATTGGATGACTTTGGAGGAACAGGTGAGGATGACTGGGCCTAAGACACTAAGCTGAGCAATCTGTAGGGGCTCTCGTGCATTCGTAGAGTCCCTGCCTCTGAGCCAGGAGGCTCAGGTTTGAATGCCCCCACCCAAATGTGTATTATGACGTCCCTCGGCGGTCTGATTTTAAAAATACATTAAAAATAAATAGCCTAAGGAACATACAGTTGATGCCCTGGGCCTGGGTAATTGGTTTTTGACTGCCATAACCATCTTCCTTTGTGTTAGGCATACTCCAACTAGTGGAGAGTTTAGCTAGTTGTAGTTGATTTCAGTTTTCTAAGGTTTGCTGCCTTGATGTCAAAAGCAGTCACTTTTACCTCATTTGTTAAATTAAGCCTTTTTGTCTAAGTTCGGACCAAGGTGCAATGAAGTCTGGAACTGAGTGATTCTGGCTCACCCTAAATTTAGTACCATTGAATAAGTTATTACAGTGAAAGTCGTGCTTCAGGAAATGCTCTCCGAATCCTTAAAGACTCGTGTGAAAACATTTTTCCTCCTGTCATTTCTTTTGCCAGTCATTGTAGATCTTTGGTTGAAGCTTCGGTCATTGGAAACATTTTCCCTACAAAACCCTTCATGATTTTAAGCACTTCTATCACTTTGGCTTAGGGTCTTCTCTACTCCAAGGAGAGCCATATTGCAGGAAAATCGTTAAACAAATTATGTTGAACAATTCTGTAAAGAATAAAAATGAAAAATGTCCAAATGCATGCAAAAAAAATCAACTTTTAAGGACAATGTAAGATTTTTTTTTTTGCTGAAAGTAAAAACACAGGGTCTGCATCACCATAATGTCGCAATTCTGCTTTCTTAGGTGTGGGTCAGCAGCCACCGACAATGATGCCGTTCACTTTAAGCGAGTTAGTGACATTATCCCGTTGTCTTCGGGATGCTTGCCTTGGAATAATTCATCTGGCATATCCAGAAACCAAGCCAGAGGTTCGGGAGGAGTACATGGTGGCATTTAAGAGCATTGGCGTGCGGACCAATACTGAAATGCAACAGCGAATTGAAGCAGAGAGAAAAAGATGGATTCAGCTTTTTAAGGTGTGTGTTGGAGAGTAGTAAGTTATAAAGAATACTTCCTTACATGTTTATGTCACAACTTCTAATTTGTTCTCAGTCAAATCTTAAACCTAACAAATAATTTTAAAGATAGTGGGAACTGCTGATGCTGGAGGTTCTGAGATAACAAGGTGTAGTGCTCGATGAACACAGCAGGTCGAGCAGAAATGCCTGAAGAAGGGTCCAGACCTGAAACGTCAGCTTTCCTGCTCCTCAGATGCTGCTTGGCCTGCTGTATTTATCCAGCTCTACACCTTGTTATCTTAAATAATTTTAAATTAATGTTAAAATGTTTCATTCTGTGTCATAACAGATTCATTAAGCATTCAACAAAGTTCCTCACTGTAGACTGGCTGGCAAGGTTAAATCATGTGGAATACAGGAAGCACTCTCCCTTTGGATACAGAACTGGCTTGAAGGTAGAAGAGAGGGTAGTGGTGGCTTTTCAGACTGGAGGCCTGTGACCAGCAGTGTGCCACAACGATTGGTGCTGGGTCCACTGCCTTTCGTCATCTATATAAATGATTTGGATGTGAACATGGGAGGTATGGTTAGTAAGTTAACAGATGACACCAAAATTGGAGGTGTAGTGGACAGCAAAGAAGGTTACCTCCGAGTACAACGGGATCTTGATCAGATGGGCCAATGGGGCCAGGAGTAGCAGATGGAATTTAATTTAGATAAATGTGAGGGGCTGCATTTTGGAAAGCAAATCAGGATAGGAATTATACACTTAATGGTAAGGTCCTAGGGGGTGTTGCTGAACAGAGAGACCTTGGAGTGCAGGTTCATAGTTCCTTGAAAGTGGAGTCGCAGGTAGACAGGATAGTGAAGAAGGTGTTTGGTATGCTTGCCTTTATTGGTCAGTGCATTGAGTACAGGAGTTGGGATGTCATGTTGCAGGACATTGGCTCGGCCACTTTTTTGGAATACTGTGTGAATTTCTGGTCTCCTTGCTGTAGGAAGGATGTTGTGAAAGTTGAAAGGGTTCAGAAAAGATTTACAAGGATGTTGCCAGGGCTGGGGGGAAAGAGGCTGAATAGGCCAGCGCTGTTTTCCCTGGAGTGTTGGAGGCTGTGAGGGGTGACCTTACAGAAGTTTGTTAAATCACGAGGGGCATGGGTAGGGTGTGTAGACAAGGTCTTGTCCCAGGGTGGGCAAGTCCAAAACTAGAAGGTATCTTACAGGTTTAAGGTGAGAGGGGAAACATTTAAAACGGATCTAACGGCCAACTTTTTCATACAGAGGGAGGTGCGTGTACGGAGTGAGCTGCCAGAGGAAGTGGTAGAGGCTGGTGCAGTTAGAACATTTAAAAGGCATCTGGATGGAAGGGTTTAGATGGATATGGGCCAAATGCTAGCAATTGGACTAGATTTATTTAGGATATTTGATCGGCATGGATGAGTTGGACTGAAGGGTCTGTTTCCGTGCTGTACGTCTCAATGACTCTTATAAAATTACATACTGAGGCTGTATTGATTTATTTAAACTCCCTTAGAGTATTTCTCCGAGTTCTGTCTGCTCAGTTCAAGCCAACCAATTCCTCAAATGCATATTTTTGTTTGAAAAATTTAGATAGTCATCCCACAGGAAAAGAAGCTACCTCCAAATAGTCTGTTTAGTTTTAATAAGCCTTAGCTATGCCATAAATATGCCACATATTTTAAAGGTGAGGTATTTTTCACTTCAGAAAATACTATCTAAATAAGTGTGTCAGATATTAGGGTTTATTACAATTGTAAGCCACAAACTTAAATGATTTATTAAAATTATAATTTACTATTTATTAATTTTGAGCAGAAATTAACAAGAAATACACTTTGTGGATGTGTATAATTGTATGACAGGCTATCAAAAGTGTAACATCAAACCTAAAATAATCCAGTTTGATGTCATGTATAACTATTCAAGAAACTCTATGAATATCAATAAATATTCGATAAAATGTCCAACAATATCTAAGAATAGAATATCTGTCAACATCTGAAGTTGTTTTATCTAAGACTGATAGGAGAAATACATTTTTAGAATTTCTAAATGAGTGTCCCTAATAATGCTGAAATTTCAGTGAACAGGTTTTATTTTTGTTGTTTGGACTGCTCTGTTGGGTGGTAGCCCTCTGTGTAGGTTCCTCCCACTTTCGTGTGATGCTGAATCATTTAAGATTATTTCTTAATTATTCAGTGAAGATTCCTTTGTGAAATTCAGCTTTTATCTAGTCATTTATTTTGTTTTGTTTGTATGTTGGTATTCCTTCAACCTCTCCTTTTTATTTTTTTCAATCTAAAACCTTTGACAAAGGATTTTTTTAGTAAAGATGTTTCTTTCTTTAATCTGAATGTTCCTTTCAACTCTTCCATATTCTTACAATCTGAAAATAATCCTTTGTTAAAGGATGTTTAATTTCTTTACCTTCTCTTGGTTTCAAATGGTTTTCACGTGACAATGATCATTGCCAGTCTTATCAGTTGGATGGTTCCAATATTCCTCCTATGAATAAATATTTTGTTTTCATTCCCAGATGTGATATTACTATATGTCTTTCCAGGCCTCCTTTACAGTGGTTAAACTATCGTTTAGACATTTTTTTATCAGTTGCGTCTTAATATTAGGAATAACATTCGTGTCTTATCTAATTAATTACTTATTTCTCAATCAGGCTTGTATTTCTAACCAGATATTGGTACAGTTAAAATGCCAAAATGCTGAACCACAAAATGCCTGATTCCTTACGTACACCAACAGGTGAGAAACAGTAACTGCAAGGTACTTTCCTTCTGAAAAGGGCAAACAGAAGGGTGATCTGGTCGTCATCTCTGATGTATGTCTTATATTAACTATTTCAGGATTGGCTGAAGTTGGGAAGTCCCTAGTTAAGAAGCAAAATGCATTCATGTGAAAAGTGCAAAATTCAGCTTAGGTACAGGAGTTGATTGTTTGCCCATTCTGCCATTTTGAATAGAACGTAACTCTGTTTACCCTCTGTTTCTGTAATGAAATTTAAATGTCCTTTAGAAGATTTATCAGTATCAATGCAATTGATAGTCAAGTGACAGTATCAGCAATCAATACGCAAATATTAATTTACTCAACTCATGCTCATAGAACGTCACCTCTGAAACATATTTCATGTGGAAGAACTTGTGTTCTAAAAGGTAAATTTCTGGTCATTTTATCCTCCTGGAAAGATATGATTATCATTCAAGTAACTCATATATTTTGCTAAGGCATGATGATAGAATCTGGTCTGAACTATAACCTGTGTAAAATTCAATGAATACTAATCTGTGCACATCCTATATATGACCACACTGCTGATGAGCATTTGCAATGTGCTGTAATTTTCATACAGCATTATGAAGGTCTGTAAAATATTTTTTTAAAGTATTAAATCAAGAAATTTGCTTCTTCTTTGCAGTGTTATTTCTCTAATTACTAACAATTTATACAAAGTTAATTTTTTAATGGATAATCAGGAGTTTTCATTATTTCAATTTTGTTCAATTTCTTTTACATAAAAATATCACAACACTTTCTCTCAACCACTTACTTTCTATAGGGTATATTTTTGTCAAATTTTACTGCTGCAAACTCAAATCCATTAAGATTTATGTTCTAACCTCTTAAATCAGAACATGATGGAATATTTAAGTACTCCATTATGGTTAAATTGTTTTTGCACTAAATTGGTGAATTCACCTATAGTTATGAAGTTGTAGATACTCTTAAATCATTCTGTTCAGACGTTTGTGACACGTTGGAGCAGGTGGGATTTGAACCCAGATCTTCTGGTCTAGAGTCAAAGGCAATACCCCTGCAACACAAGCCCGAGTTATAAAGACGTGGACCAAATACAATCTGAGCAGAAAGTCTACGTGATTCTTTATCGACAGTCATTAAATCATAGTTTTCTTGGAGATGCTAAGATGTATTAAATGTGGTAAACTTCACATTGATATTTTATCGGGAAAAGAACGCTTGTGCGATTAAATTTTGTTGAATTGCTCTATTTTCTGTCATTCCTATAATAATTTTTTATACTAAGGAATAAATCTTCATGATGCAAAGAAGTTAGTAACTGTAAGGTTACATAGAAGCTATATGTAAAACATTTTAAAATTTAGATTTGAACATTAAAGATTTCTGTTCATTTCGTAAGCATTGGTACCACTTGGAAGTTGTTTTGTGAACAGCCTTGCCTCACAGCAATGAATGCCTAAATAACTTTTTTTACGATTGTTGAGGTAGAGGTAATTGCTAAAATATCGGAGAATCCCTGAGCTGCTTTGTTTCATTTTCCATGATATTTGTTAATGATAAAATGCACTCTGAAGCAAAATACAATCGAAACAAAAGCTTGTAAATTTAGAAAAACTATTAGATAAATGGTATCTGTGCAGGAAGAGGACTTGAAGGCTATAGTTTATCAAATTCACTTGGGTTAGGTTTGTCAATGCATGGCATCAGTTAGTGTATCAGTATTATCTGGAAAAATGCCTTCAAAACTATGGCCTTGAGAACGTAGCAGTTTGCTGTGGATATTTTTGTGATGTGATGGTGGCATAGCCTGTTTTGCATAGAATCCAGTTTAAACTTTGTTTAAATGAATTGTTAGTCCCAGATAGCAGACTGCAAGTTTCACTGATACAATTTTCTTTATTTCCTCTTAAAACATGAGTATTGAAGTTTTAAAGTAATACCCCTCTGGTGCTCGGGTTGCAATCAGCTGACTTTACACAGATTAGAGAACACTTCTGCCTGCCTGCCCGCCTCCCCACCATGCTTCCACAATTCTAACTTGTTTACCCACATGTTCAGTATATTATTGCAACACTGCACATTGGGTGGCTCGAGCTGAATGAATAACTCACAATGAGTTAGAAGTGAGAGAGCAGAACTACTTTACTATCACAAACTGCTAATTGGCATTCCATCATCTTTTAGGAACCAAGGTCTGTCTCCAGAACAGAATATGCACTTAATCTGAGCCCAACCTATATAACGTGTTTTGAATAAAGGCAAAATACTGTTGGTGCTAGAAATCTAAAACCAACACTGAGAATGCTGGAATAACTCTGGCAGTATATGTGGAGAGGAAAATAGAATTAACGTTGCTGAAGAAAAGTCACACCAGACTCAAAGCCAACACTTTCTGTCTTCACAGTTGCTGCCAGACTTGCTCAGTTTTTCCAGCGTTGTGTTTTTTCCAAAGCACGCTTCAATTGGAGGATAATCAGCAATTGAGATCAAAAGAATTTGAGACAGGAGTAAAAGAAATGAAATTGAGTCAATTTGTAATTGGGCCACCTTATTGTTGGATTCTATGCTAAGTCAGTGTTAGAAATGTATGACTTTTTATTGGAAAATATATTGTACATGACGTGGAACAGGAAATGATAGTCACCTGAAGCAGCTCACTTGGCGTAAGCATAAAGGAAACGCATTTCCCAAATTGAATATTAGATTTATAGTTTTATTTCTCAATGACCCATAACACACTAATGTTCAGTGCAAGTCATCAACTATCTCTGTTAGTCCTTTGTCACCACCTTTTCTCGGATCAGAACAAAGCTATCTATTTAATTGAAAGAAGTTAATTGAATGAAAATGATCAACTAAGCTTGTATTAATATTGCTAATGGAAGATTCTGCTTGGCCGTGTTTGGAAAGAGATGTCATGCTGGAGTTTTGCAAGCACCCGTTAATGCCTGCACTTAACCTGATGGGCTAATTAAGGAATGCTTATTCATTCTACAAGTCAGGGATAGCTGCTATTCAAACCAATCAGCTTTTTCTTTATAATGTATTGCACTTAAAGCAAGCTGTTAGTGCTGGCAGGGATAGTAACTGATGATGTTTTGATTGAGATGAATACAGTGTTAATATATTAGTAAATTTAAAGTTATAATTGGGGAGACTGTTGAATCATTAGCAAAATAACTTCTTGTTTTTGACTAATTTTAGTCAATTTATTTCAAGTAATTAAGTCAGAGTTCAATTTGATTTACAGCTGGTTCCTAACTTAATGCTGCTTTCTGCTTGGGAACAGCCTGTTCTTTTAAGTTTTACAGTTATCATTTAAATCAACTGAGAAATCACTTGGACATAATCCTGTTATTTGATGTAAATGTGGACTGTATGCTTTGCATGTGCAGAGATGCTGCAAGTTGCTTGCTAATTGACATCGTCAGGCATTGAGAGACAATGTCATGATTTGTCATTTAAGTGACAAGATAATATCCAAATCAGAATGAGGTGGAATATTAGTTTGATATTATTTCTTTCTTTCAGATAGAAGCACTTATGTTTCAAATACTGGTTTAACCACAACTCTTTCCCAGTACGTATGCTGCTTGAGTTGCCCTACAAAGTCTCATTAATCCAGTGATTTGTTCTTAACAAAAAAGTGTTCAGAATTTGAATCCTGGTGTAGAGCTGGATGAACACAGCAGGCCAAGCAGCATCAGAGGAGCAGGAAAGCTGACGTTTTGGC